GGGATAAGTCAAGTACATTACAGAATATAAACGTAAATGTCCCTCGTAAAAGTATGAAAGGCATTGTACTATTATTTACAGAAGATTCAGTTAGTGATAGTGAAAAATTTCTATTTCCATTAATCGATAAAATTTCTGTGACAATAGAGGGTGTGCCAAATTGTATTTTCGCCCAAGGTATGAATAAAAAACATTTTTATGAAGAAGCAAGAAAATTTTTTGATAGAACTATTCCAATAGATTGCTTCATGACAATTGAAAAATTTTATATGGATAAATTTTCATTAGTTATCGATCTACGCACCTTTCAAGAAAAAAATATTGCTGGTAACGGTAAAAAAATTATTAATACTCAAAACGGCATTCTGCTTGAAATTAAAAAGAGAGCATATACAAAAGATCTAAATTGTTACATATATGTTATTAGTGATGCTCTTGTTCAATTTGTTAATAATGATCTACAAAGTATTCAATACTAAATAACCAGTAATATATAAATGAATACACCTTTTAATATGATTATTGTAGGTATGACAAATTGTGGTAAATCATTCATTCTTTTAAGAATGCTAGAAAAAAACTTTAGTAACCATTTTGATTATATTATTTTAGTATGCCCCACATTATCATATAATAAAACCTATCAAGAATGGAAATATATAAATGATTCTGATTTAATTAAGGTAGAATGTGACCAAGATCAGGTAGATATTGTTTTAAAATATGTGAGTGATGTATATAAAGGTACAAATAGTCTTATTATTCTTGATGATTGCGCAAGTGGATTAGACATTAAAAATAGGACATCTGAATTAGTTCGTTTAGCATTCAGTGCTCGTCATTATGGACTTTCTACTATTGTGGTTACACAACAATTGACAAGTATTGCCAAACCTTATCGTGAAAATATAAGTTATTTAGTTGCATTTTATAATACAAACCGCAATAATATGAAAACAATATTTGATGATTATCTTTATGGTTTTGATAAAGATGATATAGAAGAAATAACAAAAAAATTGAAAAATAATAAATTTGCTCATCTATTTATTCAACTAATATATCCATACCAATGGAAAATTGTTATTCCGCAATAAAACATGTGTTAATATATATATGCCAAAGCGTAAAGAGCCTGAAACAATTGATGATATAATTAATGAGATTGATTCCGCAAATGATACTATCAAAGATGCAGTATGTGATGATAATATACAAGATAAACCGCAAGAAAATTTTAATAAAAGAGATCAACTACTTAAACTAGCTGAAGATGGTGATTTAGACAAGTCAGTTGCTTACATTAAAAAAGCTAGTCAAAAAATTATTGATAAATTATACACTGAATACGAGAAAAAACGATTACAAAAAGCTAATGAGTTTTTAACTGATTTAGTTATATCAAAATTTTCAGATATATTAAAAGGGTTTGATGCTATTGAAGACTCCAAAGAATTAACAAAACAGCTTAAATCAGACGACCTTTTAAAACGAGATGTGTACAGTTTAGTAGAAAAAATATCACCAATCTTACCTTTTTTAGGTTTTTTAAGTGGTTTTATAATAATAGGTAGACATGTTTACGAACATAAAAATAATAAACCAGATATAAAATCTGAGGAATAATATAAATGAGCTTATTTTATGGGCATGATAAAACAGATATTAATGTAAATATACAAGGGTCTGTAGATAAAACACATCTATCAGATAATTATTATACTAAAACACAAATTAATAATAAATTTAATAACCACTATAACAAATCTCAAGTTGATAATAAATTTAATGACCATTATTATACCAAATCACAAAGTGATAATAACTATTATACCAAAAGTGCCTCAGATTCCAAGTATGCTTTGATTTCTAATTTACTAAAATATTATACTAAAATACAAGCTGATAATAAATATGTTTTTGTTTCAAGATTAGCCAACTATTATACAAAGAATGAAACAAATGGTAAGTATGCTTTAAGTTCTAATTTAAACAAATATTACACAAAGACTGAAACAGATGGTAAGTATGCTTTGACTTCTAATTTAAATAACTATTATAATAAAACACAATCTGATGGTAAGTATGCTTTGACTTCTAATTTAAATAAATATTATACAAAGATTGAAACAGATGGTAAGTATGCTTTGATTTCTAATTTAAATAACTATTATAATAAAACACAATCTGATGGTAAGTATGCTTTGACTTCTAATTTAAATAACTATTATACAAAGAATGAAACAGATGGTAAGTATGCTTTAACTTCTAATTTAACTAACTATTATACAAAGAATGAAATTGATAGCAGAGTAAATGGTAAAGTAGTACACCATAGCAATCAATTAAATTATAAAAATTTTAATACCCGACAAGATATTATCAGAATTTATTTTAAAAATGTTAAATTTATTGAATTTACACTTTTATTAATAAATCCATCTGATAACACTAAAACAATTAAATTAGATATGATGGTAGATAAGATTAAAAAAAAATTTATCATTAAAGTAACAAATGATAATGAAAAAAAGATAGTTAATGCATTACTAGATTTATATCACGTATACTGTGTTGATGATAAAGATAATAATATTTTATTAATTATTGAACCAACAAAATCTTCAGTTTCACTAGATTATGACGAATGGAAAAGAAAATGGCTGGCAGCATTTAATGGATTAACCAAAATTCAAATTTATTCACAACATCAATCTACATTATCTATGTCATATAATGGTTTTTCACAAAATTTTAGGGCTAATATAGAAAATAATATTCTATCAACTAAAAAATTTGTAAATGATGAAATCGAAAAATTAAAAAAATTTATTAAAAATAACTATCAAGCTAAAACTTAAGATGAAGAATAATCCTCATGTTTGACTACATATCACATAACTGTTTATAAAAAGCGATATACAAAAGAATTCAAAATCCTGAAACAATTATTAAAAACACTTTTAACAAAAATTATATGACACTCGCTTGACAGACAAATTAAAAAAACATATAGATTCCATATTTTGTACAACATTGTATTATTATACATGCGCTGATGAAATGTGCTGCTTACATTAAACAACCATTGTTAAAAACATGCACTAAGACACGCGCCTGACAGGGTCTTGTTAACACTTGATTATTAACACTTGATTATTAACACTTGATTATTATACATGCGCTGATGAAATGTGCTATTACATTAAACAACCATTGTTGAAAACATGCACTAAGACACGCGCCTGACAGGGTCTTGTTAACACTTGATTATTAACACTTGATTATTAACACTTGATTATTAACACTTGATTATTATACATGCGCTGATGAAATGTGCTATTACATTAAACAACCATTGTTGAAAACATGCACTAAGACACGCGCCTGACAGGGTCTTGTTAACACTTGATTATTAACACTTGATTATTAACACTTGATTATTATACATGCGCTGATGAAATGTGCTATTACATTAAACAACCATTGTTGAAAACATGCACTAAGACACGCGCCTGACAGGGTCTTGTTAACACTTGATTATTAACACTTGATTATTAAAGACGGTTTTTTGAAGAGCATTTCTTAAGCCTCTGTTATTCTCGAATATTCTTCGAATATTCTTCGAATGTAAGGGGACGCTCCGAATTTTCACTTCGTGAAAATTTTCCCCACCGTCGCTTAGAATTCTCGAGGGCTCCATTCCCCTGCTCAATTTTAGCTACGCTAAAATTTGCGCTGCCGAGCCCTCTCCGAAACGATGCTTGTTAACATTTGTTTGTAAAGACCGTTTTTAAAAACATATAGATTCAAATTTTTACCCTTTGAAACAATGACTTTTTTCATACAGCTTTCTTACATGACCTTTTACTGAGGGACGCCTTTTGAACCATGGTCTTATTTTATGCTGTTATAAAGAAAGTTTTTACTACTATATTGAAACAAACAATTTTTTACACAGCTTTTTTACATGACCTTTTTACCAGAGGGACGTCTTTGAACCATGGTCTTATTTTAAGCTGTTATAAAAATAGTTTTACCGGTTATATAGTATATGGGGATTATAGCGCACTTTTCGTGCGCTAGAACCCCCATGTACTATACTACTGATGACATGTTAGCTATGTATATGTTCAAACAAAGAAACAAAAACTAGTTATACCTAAATTAATCTTCGTTTTCTTTCCATAATGTAAAAGAGCATCACTGAGTACATCAACTCTGTGACTTGGACGCATTTCTTTAGTCATTCTGCTAAATTTGCGAATGTAAGCCCACAATCTCTCCAACATCTCACCGTCAGTTAGGCCAAATCCTTCTTTACGACGGGGACTAAATTTAACCTTTTACAAGAAAGATTTAGCAAAAAATTATTGATTTTTTATAATTTTATCATCTACAATACCATTAGTTATGACAGCATAAAAACCCAGGTATCACCATCTGTTAATACGTATGAAAAATAAAAACAATAACAACTAACTTGGCATCGTCCAACATGGCCATAGCAGTGAAAAATTGGAATTGAAAATTGAAAAATGTCAATAATTGGATCCTCCAAATTCTTTTTGTAAAAAACAAAATAAAGAAAAACATGTGAAAGACTACCTTTTCAAAGAAAAAAGTGTTGAGGGAAAGTTATTGACAAAGGAAACAGGTAACAAAGCAACTATTGTCAATTGAATATTACCTGTAAGTGTTTCACCAACATGCATGCAACATCATACAATATGTTTATTTTGAGTGCAGGTTTATCAGCATTATCTTTCTCTAATTCTTGGAGAACATAAACTGCATAGCTCAATCTATAAAATATGTAGAATATTTTTTTAAATAATGCAACCACATGTATGGAAAAAGCTTCAGCACTTGCACAAAGCAATGAAAGTAGCAAACCAACTGAAAAAAATAAATTTACACCATCAAATGCAAGCATCTTAACCACCTCATTCAAACCAAGAACATTTAGGTAAAAATAGAGAAGAATGTGTGTAACAGACCTCTCTCCATGTTTCAAATTTAAGAATTTTTTAGGAAACTCATGTCGACAGCCTCGCCCAAAGATTGCTGTTTCATCAAGAGCTCTGTAGCGATTCATTGATCGAACAGCATTCCCAGCAAGAAAACCATGACACTCCTATAAGTATCAGTATGTAACAAACAAAAAAGTATACAAGAGCTTTATTTCCTAAAGCCCACGGCACAAATTTATTGAAAATAAATACTATGTGGTAGAGAATGTAAAAAAATCAAATATATTCAAAGCACTGTAACTTCCATGCCTGAATTTTCATTAGAATAACAAAGTATATTAAAGCTACATTGACCTTGTTTGATGTAGGTGTGGTATAATTGGCAACAAATTGATCAACATGTGTCTGATCATAGAACATCAGCTGTTCAAATAGAGGTTTTCCAATACTCTGCCCAGCTTTTTCCTTCGTCCAATAAAAGAGCATCAAGAGACTCAAAGATCACACCATCAGTCTTCAATAAAATGGTGAAGGATAAAATCATGCAATGTATTTGAGTTCAATGATGAAAATGATGCAGTCAAAAAGGTGTTTAAGATAGCATTGCTAATGTTCTTTTTACTAAATTGTCATTGTTAAACGAGTAATACGAATATACTCACTTTGGGACAAGCAGGACAGATATTTCCTTCATCAAGCTCAGGAATAACACAGCTCAACATGTTTAGTTTATGTCTGTAAATTCTGAAAAAAACAATGACACAAAGAAAGCAATTATGCACTCTTAAACAAATGACATAAACAAAATACAGTGCAATACAGTAATACTTGAGGAAAAATCCTTTCCCATCATAAACTTTAGCATTTTGATTTCCTCCAATTAAATACATCTCTTAAGATGAGATTCTTAGGCTATAAAATTGACTGCAACTTTCCCAGCAATTCATACGTAGTACAGCAGTGCAATAAATCAGTGACCTACATGCAATTACCTGTATTCTTCAAAAGCATCTATAATGACAGGATACATTTTTGGTGTTGCATAAGAAGAAAATATGTGGTTATGATTAAACTCTTCAAATGACTGACAAATGCTTTTTATTGATGCCTGGCATTCCATCTGCATAGAATGAACCAATTCAAAAAACTCAATTGCAAATGCAATTCTTGGTTTTGTAGGTGTTCCACCCCAAAGGCCAAATTGCAGAAGTTGAACAAACTCGGAAGAGCATGAGCAAAACTGTACCTCAACAGTACAAAAGGTGCCTAAAAATTGAAAAAGATCCAAAATTATAATTGTGTTGAACCATCCCAGCTAAAATGAAGAAACTTTTACAGCACATTTTACATATAACATACCTTTAACATCAACAACAGAAACACTTCTTTTGTGACGAGCTGTTTGGCATGAACAATCATACACCAGCATGTTCATGAGTTTATATGGCCAAAACATGCCATCCTACAAAGCAATGAATAACCTCGTAGAAATTCATTGCAATCAATCCCCTTTCTTGCATTCATAAAAAATATTAGATTAGTGCTTCGTAGCATGTTTCACAATGTAAACTCTCATTTTATTTTTGCATTTTTTATTGCAAGTGTTGAGAGAGTTAACTGTAAAGACTTTTATAATATCTATCTCATAAAGGTTACCTTAAATATTTCAACATGATGACAAATATTTACGGTTGTGTGCATCTTTAACATACAGTTCTCACAATACTTTGCCATTGGACCACAATCGCTGCACCTAAACTTTGCTTCATTATCACAATGAATACACTTCCGATTGCTCCAATTTTTGCCAGCAAACTGAAATGTATTCTTTATAACTGAATGTCGCAAATTTTCCCATGCTTTTTGTTTTCTTTCAACTTTCTGGTAATATGATTCTTCACAATCATGGCGAACATCACTTTCAAGATCACTGTTATCTTGTTCCATTCCCAGTTCATGGCCTTCCAATGCACCACAATTATCAGGACTGTTAATAGAACAGCTTCCTCTATGATCCTCAGTAACCAATTCTGACAAATCCACCTCCTCTCTCTCAACATGGCCATCCTCATCATGATATGTGACAGCTACAGTTGCTTTAAACCTTTTATTTGTCCTACAAAAATTATCATAAAAATTTATAAAATGATAATAAATGTTGAAAAGTCTAACAGCTATAAGGCCGTTATTTGGTGTACCTTGGCATCTTTTAAAATTACCAGTAAGAAAATCACAAATCAGAAAATATTATCGATATTACCAATGACACAATAACATAAGTTAAACGACCAAAGTACAACGTATGTATCTTCCACGACTACCAGCCGACGTTTTGTACCCGTACTTTACCGGCTATTAGCCACGTTTCATAAGACGAATGGGCTGTCACGACAAAAGCAGCAAGCGTTTGTTCAAGTCAGCGGTGAAATTACTACAATTGATATTTACCGCCATTACCACAGTAACATCAATGCTGATCTCACATCACCAAGGTGACAAAGCAAATTTCCTTGCCACTCCAGTGAACTCGACATTTGAATAACTGGAATGATAACCGAAGCCAAAAATTGAAGCCAAAAAAATATTTGTTGTCATCATTCGTCATCACACGTCAGGCTCTAGTCTCTCGCGTGTTCATTTTAATTTTTTTAAATCATTTGTTCCTTGGTAATGGTAGAGTTCGGATCTTGATCAGAGCATAAAAATAACGAAATTTTTGGAATGAAAAGGTTCACAGAAAGTGAATCCAAGTGATAAATCGAGAAGCAAGATGAGGCCAACTTAGTCGATCTGCTCTTACGCTGCGGTTTTCCTTTAAAACATATCAAAGTCTTTAAGGATATTCAATTATTGATATCGAGATGACAACCATTTAGTATTTCAAGTTTCAAGCACTATCAAAATCGATGAAAAATACAATCGCTCTGTAAAAAGTAAAAATGCGAGTTATGGACTCAATATTTTTTATGAAACTGGATATTCAAGTTTCTTTTTATTCGGAAAAACAGATCTTTAAATCCACTGAAATGATTTTAACTTTTTCCAACAGTTAAAAATAATACGTGAAAACGTTTAATGTCCTTATCAACAGGCGGACTCCCTAGAAGTGTACCTCCCCCGCAAATACACTTTCAAAATAAATCAGTCGAGCACGCCTGAATTTACAAACATAGAACTTCCAAGGTTCAACGTTCTAAATACGCAACTGATCATAACCTCTCGCTTAGTTTCAAGGTCTTCAGCAAGTTATTTAAACACTATGATGTCAAATCATAATATTATGTAAAATTACATATTGTATACTGTCAAATTCTTTTGTAATTATTTACATAAGGTATTATTATGAATATTGTCAGCAGGGACGCCGGAACTGGGGGGCAAGGGGGGCAACGGCCCCCTTGCCTTTTCTGGAGAGGGGCAGGGGGGGCAAAAGTGCCCTACAGGTTGAAAATTTATTGTTTTTAATTCAAGATAAAGACTACTTAACCGTTGTGGGATATTGCATTCTTTTTAGCTTAGCCATAAAATTGTCGTAACTATGTTAGTTTTTCTTTAACTTTTCTTTGTTTTAAGTACGTTTTGTAAGTTCTTTGTTTGTTTAGTTAGTTCTTCTTTTTTGTTGCAACGCGCGAGAACTTGAAACGGAATGAAAGAGTGAGTACTGCTAATGACGTAAAGGAAAGCTCGACTTATGTAATTACCGATAGTATAAATAACATGTAAATAATTAACTCTAATAGATAGCGTAAGAATACTCCAGTGATGTACTTGTAGATTGTTTGGCTTGAACTCACTTAAGGTTCAAAACGAAGAGTGTTAGTGAACCAGCTGAGGAGCGAATTCCTCGACAACCGTGAAACGTCATTTTTTAAATGTAAACAACTAAAAATCACAATACCTTTGTAAATTCCTTTCATTTTTATTAAATCCAAAAAAGTACCAGGAACATGACGTATAGCAAAGATATTTTTAATGGTAAACATCTGCTGGCATAAATGGCTCAGTCATCTAAACACTGATGACTTTGAAAGGGATATTTTTTGCATCTTATCGCTTTTTCTGCAATGCCAAGAGCAGAAAGATATAAAAAAGATTCAGCAAAAGCATTAGCGAAAGTAGCTGCTAAACCGGGTCAATCAAAAATAACATCGCTGTTTGCAAAAGGAAACACAGGCCATGATTTTGATTCTGCTTCAACAAGCGGAATTGACACTGTAATAACTGTCTATACTGAAAAAGCCTCAGACTGGGAGTTACAAAAATGGTCCAAACCGAAAAGTCTGATTGGTGAAACAGAAAAGATATGCATGAAAACGACATGGGTAAAACATGAGAAAGACTTTACAAGCGAAGACAAGGAAAGTAGTGTGAAGCATGGTCGATATTTCCAAGGTCAGTGGTTACGAAATTATGAGTGGCTAGTGTACAATCGAGAAAAAAATAAGGCTTTTTGCGAAATTTGTTCTACTCACTTTAAGATAAAGGGAGTGTTTGGCAGTTATGAAGTTGGATTTGATAACTGGAAAAAAGGCTGTGAGAAATTCAACGAACATGAAAACAGTTACGCTCATAAAGAAGCTTGTGCCACATCAGACAAAGGGCAATTGTCTATTAGCATAGCCTGCAGTTCACTTGCTCTTGAAACGCAGCAGTTAAGGCGGAAAGGGTTAATTTCGCATCTTCAAACATTAAAAACACTCTTACGCCAAGGTATAGCGATTAGAGGTAGAACGGATTTTGAATCTAATATTCATCAGTTCAATCTTGATAAAGCTATCAACGACAAGGCACTAAAACTTTTACTGGACGAGAACCGATACGTAACTGCACACGACATCCTGGACGAGCAGAAACAGATGATTGTATTAAATGCTCGAAGACATTTGATTGTTAAAATTCTAGTGAGAGAATCATTTTCAATTCTAGCTGACGAATCATCAGACGTATCTAAGAAGGAACAGTTGTCTTTCTCCGTAAGGACCTGTGATGATAATTACGAAGTATCGGAAGATTTTGTTGGAATTTATGAATGTTTGCAAGGGCTTTCATCTGATGCATTACTGTACTACACCAAAGATATCCTTCTCAGATGTGGTATGGAAGGTCACAAAATGGCAGCTATGGGCTTTGATGGGGCTTCAGCAATGAAATCCCTCGCAAGAAAGCTCAAGGAAGATGTTGCACCAAACGCAATTTATGTTCATTGTTTCAGTCACTGCAATGAACTTATTATACAGGATGCAGCTAAGCAATCTAATTGTCTACGTCACTGGATTTATGCCAATCCCTGTATGCAAGCGTAGGTGCCCATCCAAAACGTATTTTATTGTTCGAAAAAATACAGGCAGATTTTAGAAATGAAACAGGAACAAACGATTACAAAGTTCTACGACTCCAAAGTCTTTCTACAACGAGATGGACAACAAGAGTAAAGGCTGCTGACGTCATCTTCGAGAAATCGGCTGAACTACATGCAACCCTTGAAAAATTGCAGGAAGATCCTAGCATTTCGGCAGACACAAAAGCAAAGATTAGAGGAATATTAAGGCGACAGCTATCTTCCTTAATCGTCATCTTTAATTTAAACGCGACAAGAAAGCTATTGGCTTTACTCGAGAAGCTTTCTAAAGAGCTCCAAGCGGTTGATATTTCAGCTGTGTACGCTCTATTTTCAATAAGACATGTCCTGCAACGTCTTCATGAGATGAGAAGCGAAGAAGAGTTTGAGCGTACACTTGATGACGCTTAGAAAGTTTTTCGTGTTATGATGTCGTTTCCACTGGAATTTAGTGAAAATTTTGGCTCTGGCACTAGACTAAGAAAAGTTCCCAGATGGATGAATAATGAATAATTTTAATAACAGAAAACCTTCACGTCACAGATGCCTCAGTTTGCAACAGTGCGAATATAACACCAATGCAAAGCTCGTACTACCAAGCCATTGATGCAATCATCTCAGGTCTAGGATCGCGATTTGAAGAAGACGATCTTTTCCAGATCAAATCTATCGAGGAACTGTTACTTAACTCTATGAAAGAAAGAGGAGTATCTTTAGATGGATTAAGCAATTTTTTGATTGATAAAGATGTTCTAAGAATGCAGCTTGATGATCTTCCTACCATTCTTGGGCTTTACAACGCGGATCAGAAGAAAAAAATAACAGAAGTCACGCGTATTTCAACAATAGAAGAGATATTCAATGCCATGCCGTCAGCAAAAAAAACGTGCTCAGAGATCCACAAACTAATTATACAATACTACACAGTGCCACTCTCATCTGCCTCGTGCGAACGCACATTCAGCGTAATGCGTCGTCTCAAAACATGGCTGCGGTCAAACACTGAAGAAAATCATCTGAATGATATTATGTTCTCCAACATTCAGAAGCAACACATGGATATGGTTGAAATAGACGTAATTGCCAAAGAGTTTTCACAGAGAAATGAAAGAAGAATTAAATATTTTGGAAAATACAATAAATGACAAATTGTAAATTAGTGACGTTACATCGTTTGATAGTTATATTATCGTTAATATTCATCGACCAACACTGCAGACATGTGCTTCTGTACAGTGTATTGCATGTAGCACATCTCTTTGCTGTTTATCACTATTAGATTATTTCTAGTATGTTTCACTAATGTGCCCTTCCACAAAGGCTTGCCCCTCCTGCCCTTTTGCCGTTCCGGCGTCCCTGATTGTCAGCTCCATATTAACCGTTTATACCGTCACAGTATAGGAATATACAGTAGGGCTATTTCGCTGTGCAACTGGCTGCTGTATATTTATTTAATTTACTGGCTACCGTTTGCAGTATCATCAATTCTATGGGTCACACAATGCATTTTACTGGCTGCCAATTTGATAATCACATGCGTAATAAGATATACGTGGCACGTAAAAATTAAATGGACTGGCCCTACTGTATGTTCTTTATACTGTGATACTGTCGGCGAATATTCGTTCACGCCACTTTCCCTCAAGAAATCTTTTTTTGTCACACGCTTTTTTTATCTGTAGGTTAATGTTTATGGTTTAATGGCGTTAAGGTTTTGTGCTAGAGCCTTCTTTGTAAATTTCTTTATCGGTAAACGTAAAGCAATAAAGTCAACATGAACGTTTTTCTCTCAACAGCTGTTCTAATTATCAAACATGTTGTATAGAAACTCATTGTGGTCAAAGTCAATGAAGCTTTGAGTATATCCATAGTTTATATAGACAGTAAATATTCAATTTATTTTATAAATTATGCAGCATAAAGAACTAATGTTTAAAGCTGAAAATTCTGAAGGTTTACCTCCTTACTTTCTTTATTTGTTGTAGTAGCGGATCTTGGGGTAGTCACAGCGAGCAGCATCAAGCAAAATAAATTAAAGCTGCTTAATTTTAAATTTTAAGTACAAAGAGCTGTAATACTGGTTTCTATGAGTCATTATCATAGTAAAGGTTTTTCCAACAGTTAAAAATAATACGTGAAAACGTTTAATGCCCTTATCAACAGGCAAATGCCCTAAAAGTGTGTAGCAAATTTATCCTTTGTGCGTTAGCACAAAGCAGTTAGGCTTCTGCCGTTTCGTTTTTGGGACTGTATAGTCTCCTACTGTACGCGCAGTCGACACACAATTCATAATTTTACTCAATAATACTATTCCAATATAACTATTTCACATCACGTATAATCTTAAGCATTTCAAGCTTTTACATTGACAGACAGCGACAAAAGAGCCCTGACTTTTAACGTGTCACAACTAATAAAATATTAACATAAGTTCCTATTATTAAAGAATAATTATCCATTACTTATTTACATAAGTTCCGACACACACTCCCCCCTTTGAGCCTTTAGGGTCAAACAAAACTTTTGCTCGCCAACATGCATCCACAGCTGCCACCCTTCTAGGTCTCCTATGACTTTCTACACTACTACCCTTTTCTGAAACTTCTCCTCTCTCACTACTTTCTTGTTTCTCTATTTCTGCACAACTGTCTTTACTTACCCTTGCATCCATCTCCAGCGGGTACAGTTTCTAAAGAGGCCCGCCTATGTGCATTAGCCTTCCCTTGCTAACAGCTTTGACTTCCGCTCCTCTGAATATATTATCTTTTCCCTTGATCAATCTCTCGATTCTTTTCAAACTTTCCTCAGACACAAGAACTACATAACCCACTTTCAAACACAAACTACCCTTTACTTTGCTAACCTTATGACACGCCCTTAAACTTGTTTAGTATTCCTTCCCCAATCTGGAACAAAAATGCTTTCTCAACCTCGCTAAATATCTAACCCTACGCTTGACTCTCTAAATCTTCCATCCACTTCTTTTCACCTCTTCCTACGTTCTTTCTTGTCACTTTCCAGCTCATTATCCCATTCAGCTTTCTCAATACACAGCTCCTGAAACAATAACTTGGCACAAACTACAACTGGACTTATAATACCTAAGGGATTGAATAATCCTGCAAGAATACTTAGTATATTTCGTTTACTTAGAATGAGTGCCTTTGCTGTTTCAGCCAATTTTCAGAGGCGAAATACAAAGTGATCTGACTTACACATTCCCATCGCAATCCTAGTACTTTCTCAAAACTTCCACTGATACTTTTTTCCCCAACTGATGCTTTGGCATAAGTTTGCTCATGAACCACTTTCGAATTACTAAATTCTGCCTTTCTGTCTTCTAAAATGCTTCTTTCCCTCTTTTCTGTTTCTTTCAAGGCATTCTCATCACTACTTAGCCACTCCCAAAGCCTAAATCCTCCCGCAGCCAATCACTCACTTGTTGACTCATAAAACCTCATTACTTTCTTCTTGGACTTTTCACCTGACATTAGATCAGTGACATAAAAGCTATCTTTGAGTTTTTTTTAACAAACTCCTTGTCTATCTCTATTAATGAGTCTAAATGATACTGCAGTGTTGCATTCAACAAAAATGGAGAGCAGTTAACCCCAAACACTACTCTAGAAAATCAACATTCTTAAGGTCTCACTCTCTCATTGTTTATGTCATCAACCATAAAATCTAAAGCAATCCTCGTCCAAAGTATCAACTTCTATATTCAAAAATATCTTTTCAATATCTGCCACTAGAGCGACTCTTCAATATCTGCCACTAAAGTGACCTTATCAAATTTGAAAAAGCAATGGTGCTAATTTGGGTCGCACATGCAAGCAGTCATTGAGTGAGGAAGCCTTGCGTGACTCTTTACACGACGTATTATAAGCAACTCTAACCATAGTTGTTTTTGCTTCCCTGCGAATAACCGCAAGATGTGGTAAATAATGTATTTTGTCAGCTTTCTCTAGTTTTATCACTGGTTCTACAATACCCCTCCTCAATTGACCTTTGATTGTCTTATCATACTCTTCTAAAATTTCTGGTTCCCTTTTCAGCCGTAATAACTGACCCTTTAATCTTTTTAAGCTTATGCTGTAATTTGTATAGTCTAAGCTATGTCCTTCTTTCCAAGGCAATTTGACACTGTATCTGTTACCATTAAACACAATAGAATCCCTTAACAATTCATGAACTTCATCTTCCTCTGCTATTCCTAAAGTCTCAAAATCCTACAAATGATCGACATTCTTATCTAAATTTAAATTTTCTGAACGTTCATGTGCAATGAAGTTTACTTAAGTGTGCATGTTATCCAAATCATTTTTCGCTTTCATGTGGCCGGACAACACCCAACCTAATTTAGTAGACACAGAAACTGGTTCATCTACCTGTTCCTGAACAACATTGCCTTCCTGAAACCACCAAAGATAATCTGCTCCACTCCAAACTTCAATGTTTAAAACTTCCTTATCCATGCAAACATCTGAAAACCACAGACCATTAAATGTGAATACTCCATCTTTCTTAATTCTACATGTTCATTCCTAATTTGAAATATGCAGTCTACACTGTATGCCTTGATGCTTACACTCTCTCCTCCCGTAACTGACAACAACTCTAATTGAAATACCTCTCGCAACCTACCTTTAGCCTTCTCTTAACCAAACAACTTGATTTCTGTCCATTCCTTTTTACTAACCTGAATACCTTCTCCCTGTATAATCTTTCTATTCACAAATGACTTGTGAATTCCTGAATCAAACAACACTCTGACTCTAACATGTCTCTTATCTTCCTTAATAAAAGCCTGTGCTGTCTTTAATGCTATCTTACAATGAGATCCCAGAATAGAATGGTTGGTTTGAACGTCGCCTGTGAGAATCCCATTGGCTTCACAAATTGATCTATGGTGTGTCTTCCCACATGCATTAAATTTATCATTACTATTACAATTCTTACTGACATGTCCTTTCTTCAAACAAATAGAACATCTTCCGTACTTACGAATGAGTTGTTTTTTCTCAGTTACATTGGTTATTTTCTTACATTCCTCTGGATTGTGTTCCCCGAGACAATAAACGAATTTTCTATTTGGTTTACTGTTCGTTGACTCCTCTTTGCAACTCTCGTGCTTCGCGTGCAGTGATGATGCTGACTCTATATGTCTTTGTCGTGGCGTTTCTCGTTGTTTCTCCCCATTTTGTCTCTTGGTTTTCTCGCCGATCGATGTGCGACCTTCTCGAAGCTCTAACTCTTTAAGAATTGAGTTCAAAGCGTCTTTCATTGACCATTCCGTGAAATCCACGTATGCTGGAAGAAGGAGAGCAAGAAAGTCGTGATATGTTGTATCCGCGGAGAGTTCCATTGTTGCATACCGGTGAGATCGGACTACCTAATTTATAGCTCATTGC